GACCTGGCTTCCGCGTGCCCGTCTCCAGGCAACAGCCGTCCCCGGGGCGGTGGCGGGTGGGGAGCGGCGGGCCAGGGCTCCGCGCTGCCCCGGGGCGAGGGCGGAGGGCAGGAGGAGGTGTCGGGTCTCCGGGGCCACGGCATGACCGATGAGCGAAACGGGAGGCGACGCAGCTTGCCGAGGCGGCCGGGCGGAGCGCCGGCGCTGTCCCGCAGGTAACGCCGCCCGCCCCGCGGGGCCGGCCTGCGGCCTGGGTGCCTGGCACGCTTCGGGAGTTGCGGTAGAACGAGCCATGGGAAGATTGTACCGAGCTTTGCCGGGCACCCGCGTGTCAGACCTGTGTGCCGCACTGGCCGATCTGTGTTGCTAAAACTGAAGAGACACGTTATGGGAAACACCCTGGGGGGGAGTATAACAATTTCTCTGGCAGCATAGCATATTTCTGCTGCTACCATGATAAGACAGGTCTCAGGCAGAAAGTGAAATAAAAGCATGTCTTATTTCTGGCTGCATAAGCGATTGGGGCTGGAAGAGGCAGCATGGGAGCTCCCCAGATGGAAGGAGCATAAAGATTACAGAACCCGGAAAAGTTACAGAACTTTTGCTGATATTTATTATGGCCTGTCATTGTAGCCTCCAGGTGTAGCCAGTTAGGAGAAAATTTGTCCAGTTTTGGATAAGATAGCCTGTAATGACTTTGCTTTTCTAACCTCAAGCTCTTTCTCAGGCACTGAATGGCTTTGTTTCCACCAGTGGATTCTGTGGTGGCAGCTCCTAAGCTAGTTCCCAGTTCCCAGCTGGAACACCAGAAGAACAGCTTTCAGCATGAACTCATACCTGACACAGAGGGAAGTTTAAAGGATCTCTATGCCCGAAAGAGCCGAAGCTATTCATATTCTCTTTCTACAGAAAGGAGTCAACACAGCTCCAGGCACGGAACTGTCTGTTCAGCTGGACTGCAGAGCAAGTATCTCAACAGCCAGGCCAAGACTCTGCCAGCTAAATCAGTAGCCAGACGGAAAGAAGGAGTGGACCGTGCACATCCCCTGAAACCAATTTTTCACCACAAGGGTGTGAGTGTTCCAGTGGTCAACAGAGCACAGGTCGGAAGTTCCCCATACATGGAGGAAGCTCCAAATAGTAGCCCTAGCTCAATGAGCAAAGGGAAGCCTCCAGCAGGGAGGGCTCAGCTAGATGCAGTGCTCTCTCCTTGGACAGCAGAGCCTAAACAGTCAGCCTCCCATCTATACAGGAGAGAGCTAGCCTACATCCTAAAGTTGGAGGCAGATGGACGAAACCTGGAAGAGGAAATTCGAAAGAAAGAGGCCCTCCTCAGAGAGAAGCTGAGGAGAACAAAGGAGGAGCTTAGGAGGATTCAAAGAGAGAAGGAGCTTGTTGAGGCAGAGGAGAGAAGAGACAGAGAAGCGGAGAGGACCCATGAGCGAAAGGCCACAAGGCACCCTGAAGAGAAAGCTTTCAGAGTTGCAGTCAGGCCAGGTGATGGGGTCTTCAGTGGGGTGCAGTCTGCAGAGGCCACTATCCCCAAGACTGGCACCATCCTCCACCCCCAAGAGCTGGCTATAGGGAAACTCAAGAAGGAGCGGCTGGTGGCCAGCAACAGCAAAATTCGAGACCGCATCCCCGTGGAGCATTTAACCTCTTGTTCAGAGCTGGCCAGAAAACACAGCCCTTCTCCCTCCCCTCTCTCAGACCAAGATTCTGGTGACCCCCTCTCTGCAGAGATGCTGCATGTGCAGGTTGCCAGTGCTGTGGAGCAGGGGGGGCTTGGACAGTGCAGCTTCTGCGGACGTAAGTTTCTCTGCACCAGGCTTGAGAAGCACGTGAGTGTCTGCAGCAAGAGCCAAGGCTCCAAGAGGAAAGTGTTTGATTCCAGCAGGGCCAGAGCTAGGGGCACAGAACTGGAACAGTATCAGCAGTGGAACTGTTCAGAGAGGCCTCAGGTAATGTGCAGTCCCTTTGCCTCCCTCAATCCACATCTACTGCTCACATTCCTTCCACCTCAACATCTAATTCTAACTGAGATGTGAGCACCTTCACATGTACATGGGGCTAAGGGATACACAATCTAGCTATTGCCTCTGAAAGGTTCTTGCTTAATGGATAAATAGATCCATTTAAAATCCAATAGGTGGGGGGCAGGGGTCCTAAGTGACTTGTCTTTGTACTGTGTCGAGGGTGTACTCCCAGAGAAAGCTCACTCCTTGCTGTAGTCAGGATGCAGACTGAGTCTGCTGCAGTGACATTAGGGGCTGCAGGGAACTGACTGAAAATCCAGGTAATAACACAGACTATTAAAACAAAGGCAGGGGAAACATGCAACTCTGTTCCTGCAAAGCAGCTATAGCAACCCTCTCCTATTCCTTGGCACTACTGCTTGCTTTTCTGGTTACTCTCAAGCTCTTTTTAAGTACCGATGTCTCCATCAGTATTTGCTTCAAATCCTCCCTGGTGCTGGTCTTTTTGATCCCCTTTGTGGGACTCAGCTTCTCAGGGAGTGTTTTACTTCAACAAGGAATGCCCAGGGATTGCTGACCCGAGTTGGACCATGAGCATTAGATTGAGAATAGAGGCTAAGGGTGGTGCCAGTTGCTCTGACTGCCTTTCCCTTCTGCAGAATGACCCACCCAGAAGGAACAACTGGAGGCAGAAGCACGAGGTGTTCATCCAGACCCTGCGCCAGGCCCGCCAGGTGCAGCAAGTCCTCTCCAAGGGAGGGAAGGTGGCTGACCTGCCCCCGTTGCCTCCCATTGAAAACCCGGACTACACTGCCTGCCCCTACTGCAGACGCCGATTTGCTCCCCAAGCAGCTGAGAGACATATTCCCAAATGCAAAACCATCAAGAGTAGGCCCCCACCCCCACCGCAGAGGAGGTGATGCTGAGGCGGTGTCCAACTGTACCTGCTCCTGTGATTCCTTGCCTGTTTTCTGCCAGGTTTCTGGCCACAGACACTTGTGCTTTCCCTTGTCTCAACACTGGCTGTGAGTGTTGAGCTTGTATGTACAGCAAACAAACAGCTCAGGACGTACAAACAGAATACTAGAACTTG